CAAGCTACAATTGTTATCTTTCCTGAGGCTAACGACGGGGGGTAATGATATAATAAGTATCCACCTATCACTAGATAATCTACCATGCATTAAGTGTTTACAAAGATACGACACTTACTGAGAACACCTGAAAAATCTTCGCCTCTCGTTTGACGGAGTTTAAAAAGGTAAGGGCTCGGTAACTATTCTTTCTCTCGAATGCAAGAAATTTTCGCTTCACTTGAACAATTCTGGGATGCAAAGTTTCAGAAGGACTATTTTACCCGAAAGCGTTGTGTTTCACTTGTTTGGCGCCCGCAAGGAAATTTCATTACAAAAATCTAGGTTGAAGTTAAAAATGAAGTTTTGAAAACTTTCGTTAGCCGAAACGTGATGTGATTATACAAACATATGTACAGTTTGCTGAAATTTAAGAATTTTATAAATTTGAAAATAGTTTGGTACTAAGCTATTGATAACGACGAGACAGCTTAGTCACATAGTTCAGTGCCAGTTTAACCACCAAAGAACTCATCAGTTTTAAAATATTAATGTTACCATGTACTCAAGAATTTGCCGAGTGCAACTGGAGTAATTTACAGAAAAAAAAGAGGGCTTTCTTTGCACGATACGAGAATGTTTCAAAAGTGTATAACATTTTTGTTGCTTCGTGGTCAAGTGGTCTTTGAAATTCGAAAAAAAAGGGTCTAACAAACCTAGACAGTGCTCGTAACGAGATTGGAGGCAGCTTTTCCCGCATCAAACGGTAAAACATTAGTTTTTCTACAAGTTCTAAGCTTAATAACAATACTTGTCTGTAGTTGATCAACGAAGTCGGCTTAAAATGTTTGAAGGTCTTTCTACGCTGATTATTTTGAATGTTTTACGACTGCACGTGTACGTTTAAAGGCGTCGGTACTTGATAAAACGTGATCAAACGTGTATCACATAGAGCAATTAAACCGATGCACAGATGGAAAGCGACTAATATAGTTAAATGGAAGAAATGAAAACGCATTGCTAACTCAATGTGTTGGGGTGTAATCTATGCTCGTGGTTTCATCGGCACATTGGCCAGAAGCTTTGATGTGAATTTATCCAATATGCATAAAACCTTGCCGGAAATCAGAAAATTTTAAAGCAATCTTGTTTCAAGCTAATAGATTGAGAGAATGAAAACGAACAGAGCAGTCCATATCTATTGTCAAAAGTGGTAATAAAAAGATTACAGCATGGAAACAAGCTTGAAAAGACATGAACATATAATGCTACCTGAGAATATTGCAATGGTTGATTGGTTTTCATTTGTTTCATTCTATTCTGTTAACCAGATTCACGAATTAATTTCTGTTGTTACACGAGGTCTTTTGTGGGTCATGATCGATCGTCTGAGAGACACGACGTTTAGTTTGCGTTTGTTAGCCTAGCCGGAAGATACCCCAGCCTCATAAGAGCAGAAACTTCGATTTTCGGGAAGGCGAACAAATTTTCACACGACGCGTAATTGGATGGATGATGTTTGAGCTGACTCTAAACATTAGCGGGTCACCATGGTGAACTGAACATGGTTCCTTTTCGTGACTGGAGCCGCACAAGCTTTTCATAGCATTTTACTTTTCTATCTATTCTTGAACTTGATAAATAGAGGTCGCGTTGTACAACGCAACTTCTAAAGTTAACATCGTTGTAAACAGAAAACGTTAAGTCGCCAACAGGGTGAACGACTCGATCAATATTTTAATCTTAGAAACACGAGCTAGGAGTTTTCAGAGCTAATAGAGAGCGAATATCGATACCCCTCGTGTGATTTTTTACACAAGAAAAACAGATATGCGCAGATTTAAAACCTTCTATTCTGTTCAGAAGCAACCAAAGTTTATAGACCTTTCCACCCACAGAAGCGATCAACGTGCAACGTCTCCTTTCAAAGTCTAACTACGATCAAGTAAACAGTTAACGAGAATTAAGGAAATTATGAAATGGAGATATTAAGTCGATCTAGGTGGGACCTCCCACAATTTACAGCTAACGAAGTGTTTGGCACTCCAAGGAGAATGTCTGTATAGATCTTGGGAGAGAATCATGAAAAATTGCGTGCGTCACGACAGCCTGCGCAGCAGGAGACTCCGCTGTCCAAACTTCCACAAGACAGCCAGACACGCAAAGTACTTGGCGCACGATGAAAGGCGTGATTCTTCATCGATGTATATGCAGCGAAATCATAATGCACACCAGTCTCTTGGTTACCCAGTAATTTTCTTTTACTCTAAAGCGCGTTCAATGAAAAGTCCTCGCTTTTGAGTAAAACTAAAACCAAAGGATTTAAAAAGGCCTGTAATTAAAACAAAGGTCGATGTGACCCTGATATCACACGGAGCTATTGTGAGCTTAAAAAAAATTAAAAAGAAAAGCAAGGCAAATACTGCCTGGAGCACGGGAAAACGCGAGTGACCACGCAGGGTCAGTTTTGAATCTGATTGGATGAGAGGATAGTTTATCTATTTTTGACCAATCGCCGAGTGAAGAGGGGAAACCAATGCGATCCAGGATTACTTTTAACTCATAGTCAAAAATGTTCGTCATCAGAAGTCTATAAACTAACTATTGTTTTCATATTTGCCGCCAGGAATCATTCAGCGTAGGATCGTGCCTTTGGATACGTTGATTCGCTTTAAGCAACGAAGAACACGATTTGAAACATTTCTCTTAGATTTGATTTGAACAATGAACAATTCTTCTGTTCAACCGACAAAGATTCTAAATCAGGATCCGTCTTGTTCTGATGCAGTGACCACGTTATTTACAGTACTTCTTTCCATTGTAACACTAGCGGCTTTTATTGGAAACTTCGTTGTTATAGTATCCTTCATCAAAACCACGAGCCTTAAAACCAGTACTAACTATTACATAGTCAACATGGCCGTGTCAGACCTTTTCTGCGCATGTTTCAACTGGCCGCTGTTCGCAGCTGAGGGGATGTTAACAAGTCGACAATTTATCAGTGATCATTTGGCTTCAGTTGTTTGCAAACTGGGAATGTACTTCAGAGGAATATCACAAGTGGTGTCGGTTTTGAGCTTGGTTCTTATCTCTGTGGACAGATATGTGGCTATTGTATTCCCATTAAAGATCATAGTGTTAGATCGTAGAGGAGTACGACTTGCTTTCTTGACTCTCACCTGGATTATACCGATAGTTTGTGGTTTCCCGTATGTTATTTATACCGAAGTTGTCAAAGTCGACGATAAAACTTTCTGCAGAACTGTTTGGAGCAGATTGCTGAGAGTAGTCTTTAACTTTATAGGTTTTGTCGTATTTTATTGTGCGCCAATTTTTGTAATGACAATCCTTTATGCTCGCGTTATAAAAACTGTTAGGAATCGTCCAAATACAGCAGATAAGACACAAGACCAGATGAACAGCAAGAGACAAAAACAGCATCAGAAGATCACGAAAATATTAATATCGATTGTTGCGGCATTTTTCGTCTGTTGGACGCCACTTTGTATATATCTGTCGCTGAAAATGTTCCATCCGGATCTCATCGCGAAAGACAAATGTTTGGTTTTTGTGGCTCTGTTTTTCTACTTGTTTCCATCTTTTAGTACAGCAATCAACCCTGTCATTCTGTTTCTTTTTAGTTCAAATTACCGCCAGGCATTGACGAACATGAGCCTTCAGGTGTACTACTTCTTTAACAAAAAATTTCGCGTGCTTGGACATGCTAATAGGCGTGTCGGATCATCGCACGGGCTGGACAATGTTGTTTTGACTGCATATGTCCGTGGAGAAACTGCTTCTACCATTTGTGTTAAATCTTAGTGAAATCCCGTCTAGAGTTCGATCCTTGTAACACCCAATGATTAATATTATTACGCAATTTCAACCCACTATCTCTTGATTGGCCGTAAGCATACTGGGAATTCTCGAAATCAGCGCCTGGGACGTCATCCACCTGCAGATTACACATGTTATCTAGCTGCAGATTATCCTATGGACCCTTAAGGTCATGGGTAATCATGTCATGTATAACCGCGGTGCATGATTTCTAAGGATAATCATGTCAAATACGCGTACTTTGTGTTGCTCACTGATTTGTATGTTTTTACGCGTTTAGAAATAAAATATTAGATTCACTTACTATCGTAACCATTTTTTTTCGCCCAATTTATATAAAAAAAATTATTAAAGTCGGTTTCTGTGATATCCAAAATAATCAAGATCTCGGTAAGGGTTATCAGCCGACGCTGAAGGCTTCGGCTGATAACTCCTACCTCGACCTTAATTATTCTAGATATCGCAAAAACCTCATCCAATAATAGTTTAGTTTAAAGAATTCTGTTGTTTCGTCCCAAGCGTGGAATAAGAAAAAAATTTGAGTCCCCAAAGAGGAATCGAACCCTTCGCAGTCCACGCTACGATGCTCCACCAATGAACTTTGGAGAACTCAGTAATGGGCTAGGCGTCCTGCACTTTGCTAGGATCATCTCAACATTATTCTCACACAACGCTTTAAACACCGCTGATCTTAGTAGCATGCAGTACGCATGTCACATGTAAACTAATAATACCTCCTTCCCATCACCCCTTTCTCGCCTACTCCAACGTACACATTTTGGAGTTGACTGGGAATGAGTAAGACTGCACGATAATGCCTAATAAAATTACATATTACGAATTATTGTTCTGTAGCAATCGCATCTGTCATGACACCCCAGGGAGAGATCTTGTCCTCAACTTATACTCCGTCGTTGTTGAATTGAATTTATTTGATAAGACATTTTGAGAATAAAAAGGTCAAATGCTTGGAAACTATCCTCGAATTATCGTCAGAAACAAATGCTCATGAGAGTTTACTGTTGAAAGTATTTCACTACTGGGAGGGTCCAAGTTTAAAACTACAATAAAAAAAAAAAGCTGAGGAGTTAGTTTACCCCAGCACTTGCATAGACTTCTATAGACTTCATCGAGTAATTTTACGAACTACTATAATTGAGTAAATAGTTTTTATTCAGATATATCATTAACGTTACAATCTCCACAAATCTAATTTCATGCACAGGTAAACATTATCGATTAAAATGTGATTTATAAGCTCGACAACAAACAAGTAGTAAATACAAATAAATGAGGGAATAAAGAGAATAAAACTACTAGCATATACTGCTTTACAATAAAACCCTCAATGTGAGGTCAAATTACTTAAAAACCATTATTATCAACAAGTCGTATATACTTTGATAGACTTAGAAGTACGTACTTTAGACAAACAAACGAGGTTGGAGTTTAAAATCAATCATTTTCACTTATCACTTTAAAAGAACAATACTTAAAACTAACAGTAAGAACGCATTGTAAACATTAAGTCAATAAAAAAATGCCACATCAGGCATAGATAACCATAAACCACTGTACATCTAGTTGTTCGTTTCAATACCCAGTGAGAAAAAAAAACCTCACTTTAGCGCACGCATAGCCACCTGTGTGCTATGGTCAGGCCGGGACATACCAATAAGACAAGTCGCTGGGACTATTAGTCTCGCGCATTAGAGGGAGAGGAGATCTCCAAAAGTGTATAAACCACCTCATCTTTTCCATAATCATTTTCCACGGAGCACTTCACTTGAAGGCGCCAGGCGAAACATGAAGATGCTTGTTTCCCAGGTGTTTCTAGGATGCTGCTTTTAGCCCCGTCTCTTTGAGTAAAACACCCCTCATAAAATTTATTTTTAGACGAGACAAACATTTTAGTCGAACCAAATGCTATAAACCACTTAAAACGTAGCCGTGGGGCACCTCGTGTAGCATGACATGAAAAGACAATTGACTTTTTCTGCCCTGCATACCATTTCACAATTTTCTCTCTTCCCTTTAGTTTGTCTAATACAGGAGGACCTGTAAATGAAATCAAAGTTCACTTTAATCCTTTAGCCCGTAAGAGCGACCCGCATCTAGTGTCTCCTTACAATATCACCCCTTGGTGATGGTGTTACATGAGAAAAAAGGAAATGATCACTTCTGATTGGAAGACAAATTTTCTAGGAAGTGCTATTGGGAATGCACAGAGAATAGTAAGGCGAACTCGCATACTGATTTTAAGATGTAAAGGAACTACTAGGCTGGGGCGGATCGGGGATCTGTGAACAACAGTAGAGGGCGAGGGCACTGAAAATCTCTTTTTTCCGACGTTGGTTTCTTCAGTTTCGAGGGACCGAACCCTGCGCCTGGCCTTGTTCTGCCAATGTAAAGGGAATATACTCAAGAAGCCATAAACTTGTGATCACCACTCCGTAAAAGAGCATAACTCAAAGTAGGATAAACATTTAAAATTCTTCTCTTGTTTCACCATTCTTGTTCCATTCAAAAAAAGACAATCATTGCAGTCAATGCTATGACTCTTCATGACAACATGACACACTCCAAGGTGTAAATTTTCTATCTACTAAACCTGTCTTCAACTCAATGAGCCTCTCAGATTAAAATATTTCAGTAACACAAACCCCAAATTTCCAAACCTTCTCTCACTTTTTTCTTAAAAGCAGTCAGAACAAGTACCAAACAAACGACTTACTTGGAAGATCAACAACAATCTCTTTGAAAGCCCTTCCAAAAGCATTCTCTGCTTCACAGCGATATACTCCTTGATCATCATGACTGAGATTCTTCTTCCGAATGATCAAACCATTGTGGGATGTTAAAATATATCGCTGAATCTTTTCACATGGGTGGCTTTTATAACACTTCTTTATTTCTTTGCCATCTTTTGTCCATGTTATCTTTGGTGGAGGGAAACCACTGACTCGACAATCAAGTTCTACATCTGGACCACTGTCTGTGTCATTGACAAATATGCTATGGGGTGTTACAGATGTGATACTAGCAGGTTCTGGAGCTGGAAGAAAAAAGGTCATCCCAAACTCTTAAGAAGTTACAAGGTCAGCAAACATTTCCATCACATACAGTTATGCAAATAGAGTTGAGTACATTGTAAGAAATACCCAGTTGAAAATTAGATTCCAATTATTGGACTCTTTTAAAAGAACTGAGATACTCTGCTAATGATCGCAATAAAAGAGCTGAGAAATAAGTTACATTGGAAATGTGCACAAAAAAATTTCTTATCTCTTAAGCCTTAAACAGTTAGGCAACTACGACTTTTAGTTACCTTTGACACTGACTTCTACATATTGAAAAGATGTGAATCCTTTTAAAGTTAACAGACATCTGTATCTGCCACTATGTGCAAAGTCAGCCTGTGAAATGACCAGATCCTTTTCCAAAATTCCATTAGGACCATGTGAGGAGAAGACACTGACACCTGGCAAACTGTCTGTTGGAAGTTCCACACCATCTTTGAACCAAGTCAGCGTTCCCATATTACCCTCACAGACATATTTAAGAGGGGAACCATGTAAAACTCTCCTATTCTTATGAGGGTCAACAGTAACACTAGGAGTTCCTTATAAAAGAGAGAGAGAGAAATTGACATTTAGAAATCAAAGCGAAATAACTGATTACATTTTTTCTGTATTACCAACTATAACTTGCATAATTTCAAAGTCTCAAGTACAAAGCAACAGCTATTTCATATTGTTCTTTAAATAGCCATGGAACATCACAAAAATCCTTTGTGATTCTTAGAAAAGAAAAGCACGAACTTACTGGAATCAATATATAATAAGATCTTTCTGGTGATAACTTGTCCATTCTTCCTCTTAGCAACACATAAGTAGTGACCTGCATCATGTCTTGTGATGCGACGAATAGTGAAGACTGCACCATTTCTGGTTATTTTTTCTTGTCTAAGTTGGTTGTCAGTTCGATTCAATGTGACGTTAGCAGTTAAGTCATTTGTTGTGCAGTTGAACACAGCAGCACTTTCAATGGCTGTGTATACTCTTCTCACTTCCAAGTCTTGATTGATGAGAAAAGAAAAATTCCCTTTTACTGGAGAACACTGAATGCCACCTTTGAGAAGAGAAAAAAGGCACATGAAAGACACTGTTATGTAACAAAACTAGCTAAATTTTATTAATCTTATTTAATAAAATTATGAAGGCTGGGAATAAATTGTTAGATGCCTTGAAATTTCAACATTTTTTACAGACTACAGTCACAGAAATCTATACCCACCCAGTTCATAAAGGAAACTTAATTCCAAGGTAATGGGTTCTTCAAAGTAAAACAAAATGCGGGTTTAAGCAAGAAACTAACCTGACATTTTCAAAGGGGATGCCAGATTCAGATTTAGAGGTGGACATTTGGTGATTAATCAAAGCTAAAACAAATTTCTTGAATGTGATTGGTTATCACCAGCCTGATTTGAGCACTGATAGGACAATGTCTGTGTCATGCTTGTAATTGGACAGTGTAATAGGATGGTTAAAGGGACAGTTAACATGTCATAACAGTGTAAGTAACAGAACATGTCATGTGCGCACACTTGTCTCACATTTTGCCAAGTTAACTGGTTTTTTTTTTCATGAAAACATAAAACTGATGTCTAGTTTTGTAGTTTTCAAATTTTGTGATACTTTTGATTAATTGGTAACAGGACTTTGTGTTGTCAAATTCTGTTTGTAATCATACCTAATCATAACCATAACTAATTTGTCAAATATTATTGGTGAAATCGGAGCTTCATTTCTTCACTGATCAATCTGTACAGTTGTAATTGGACAGTGTAGTCAGACAGTTAGCTGCAATCAGACACCTGTGCTGGACAGTTGAAGGAGCCAATCATACTAAGTCCATTCAGCCAATCCCATAATCACAGAAATGATCAAAATAACCATAGCAACAACCACTTATCCAAAGATATATGAGATATTTGTTCTAGGTGTATTTGTTTTTCCAGAAATTGAAATGGATATGACAAATTGGTAACAGGACTTCTTGTTGTTCAATTCTGTCCGTAATTGTACTCGTGATAATCAAATTGGACTCTGGCTTTGCGGTTGTCTGATCTTTTAATCACTCATAATTTGACTCCACTCGGTCTTATTACTATTAGAAATCAGACTCCACTTGGTCCTAGTACCATTATAAATTAGCCCATTCCAACAGCAACATCAACGAATGCGAATGAGGCAACACTTATCATCACCAGTCAGTCAATATTGTGATAAATATTGTCAAGCTCATGAGAAAATGAACGCATACATTCAAATACAAAGTTTGCCCATCCTTCACTCACAACCCACTCCCCCATTCATCCAAAGACATTATGTTTAAATTTTCATTGGTAAAGCAAAACCCTTCACAGATGCACAAAACCCGCTTGAATAGAGCAAAAAATTCATCTATAAAATAGGAAAACATATCATGTCACAGTACTAGCCAAACTGCCTCATCAGAAAAACTAACATAATCAAACTTATGTCAAATTTAAGCCTAATTGCAATATCTATGCTCATTTTCGTCCCATAAAAATACATTTTCTTTCAATATCAAATTTTCAGTCTACTGATCTAGTGTCTGAGTTATGCTTAACTATGTAAAATGTTAGCTTGTTAATCTTACCAACTAACACTAGCAGCACGATAGCATGAAGAAATGGCATTGCTAACTTCATTTTTCCTTCGTTGGGTCTTGATGTGAGCCTGCAAAAAAGTTCCCAACTATGAGTTTCAAGAGCAGTTGAAAGCAAACAAGCTGTTCAAACAAAGTAAAACAATAACAACATGCTAGGCAACACTCCTAAACTTTCTTATTCAGTTACCCTTTGGCCTCTTGAAATGAAAATCGAACTTGCACCGCCATATTACGTTCGACAAATGTGACAACACTAAGATCGTGCCGTTTTTTTTAAGGAATTCACGCGGTCCTTTCAAGTGCTTCAGGCTTCGCCGACTCATTCTAATTTGGTGTGTCATAGGTGATAGATAAACAACGCCTATTTGAAAAGACTCCCGGGCAATATTCAAATTTAACCGCCTTTTCAATACACTTCACGCAACTCATAAACACTTCAAGCAAATAATTCCCAGCATGCAATGTAATTCTAAAGCGGTGAAGAACAATACCAGATCAGGTAAGCAATCACAGAAACAATAACAAGAATATTTGTTATACGTGAAATCCATGTAATGGTCTTTTGACTCCTTATCTCTTAACATCATGAAACAAAAAGACGACAAGCATGCTTTAGAGCGGCGATCGAGCGCTTTTCCGTGACGCTGAGACAGTAAAGAACTGTTACTACGAATGACCCTGCTCGCAGCGAACGTGAAGCGAAAGTTTCAAATAGTTTTCTTGTAAAATTAGACGATGAATGGAATAAATTCAACGCTTGACTACCGCATGCTTTACAATAGAAATTGAATTATTTGTTTCCTTCGCTTTCGGAAAAACCTGGCGGGAAGTGCAACGTTCTATGGATTGGAAAACAGGAGTAAAATAAATAAATTACTGACGTGATTTTGCACGAAAAGTAAAATCGAGCGGGTAAAAGGAATTATTAGCACTACTTATATCGCAATGCCATTTCCATTACCCGTAATGTTTAATATCGACTGATGGATTGTATTATTTAAGCAGCATTGAGACACGAGTGATCTATGTGACCTCTGAAATCTCTCTTCTCCACTGACGGAGCCTTCCTCTAGGTATTACTCTTGGGCAGTTCTCTCGCACTAAAAGTAACAACAGCAGACGAATTTGCTCAGATGCATAGCGAAATAGTTTGTTAACGGGAATGAAAACGTGCTGATATCCCAAATTTAAATACGCCACAAGCGTATTAGAAGCTTGATAATGCACACATAGAGAACGATATCACAAACTGAAAACGCGCTTGATTTAAGAATTATACAAAATTGTGACTTACATCAAAACTGCCACTTTTCCTAAGAAAGATAGTTATTGGGAACTCTAATTAGCTTCAATCCGCGTGTTCTGCGTTCAAGGTTCCTGGTGATTTTCTGCCGTCAGGTTGAAATGTGAATCTTTTTTATAATGGCTTGCCAACAAATACGACAGGAAATGTCATCATGGCAATATTTCACCAATGAGGGAATTATTATAGAGCCGCGCCTTTTTTTTTTCACCCACCTCGAAAGATAGAACATTGTTTGGATGAGACTCAGGAGTTAGGTTACAAAGCCGATTATAAACCTCAAATACTCTCATAAATTTAGCTCTGAAATTTTAAGGAAGATATGTGCCATGACTATCAAAAAAAAATTTCAAATTTATTTTGTGTGATGATTGAATTAATTTGCTACATCCCCGCCATCAGAGACCTCTAAAACTGACGTTAAATGAAGTTCTCGCTCCCACAGGGAACAGCGGAATCGCAACGGAAATGGTACACCATAAAGTTTACTTCACTCTAATTGGATCACAGCTTGTTAAGGAAAGTGACTCTGGGGCTTTTCCAAACTCACACAACATATTTACAACCTCTCTACGTGTACAGACAACAGAAGTAAGACGATATGAAATCGATAATAGATTTGATATTTACGTTAAAAAACAGATAATTTGCATTATTGGTGGGACAGATAGTTCTGAATTCCTTCGGCTAATTACTCGTTTGTATAAAGTTCATTTTTCATTGGATTTAAAAAATTTGAGCACGCAAAACAGCTGCAGTAAACCAACTAGAATGTAATTTTATCAAATTATTTAGCAGTCATCTAAGTTTTGGTAAGATTAAAAACAATTTGTTCCCATATTTTATATATATTGTGGTTATTTTTTTATCTGATCATCTTACGAAATATTTTTTGTAATGAAAAAGAGTGTCATATCAATTCCAAAGGAAAACAAGGTAAGATTTTTAATGCGCGCACCCACTCCGGCCGGAGACGGGATGGGACGCAGACGCTGGTGACAAAGCAGGTCTGCGTCCAAAAGTCGCACGTCACCCGAAGACTGGAAATCACGAGAAAGTGAACGAAGTTGATCGACTTTTCACGTCCATTTGCGGTTTGAAACAACATAATTATTAGCACGTGCTAACTTTTATAGCAATTTCCGGTTAGTGTAACAGGAAATGTCCATGGCCACAGTTCACCCCCACAAATAAGCATCTGAACTATGTGCGCTGACCTAAGACCTCCTACGCAGAAAAAAACAGCAAGATTGACGCAAAATAAAACGCTTGTCGTCATAGCCTTGGTTTCTGGACAAAGGGCGACGAAATGATCCAAATATGTGGAGCTCCATAATCGCTAATATTCAGTAAGGATTAGGTCTCACAGATTAACTGAAGCTTAAGGCAAATGCTTGCACATGACAAGTTTGCAATCGGTTTGTTTGCAATTTGGGGAGGCTTCGGTAAAAGTTTTCTGTACGGCGTGTTTTGATGTTCCTTAAGTGCAGAATTGAACTGAGCAGTAATGTACACTTAAATTTATCACTCAAACCCTAAAGTAGTCTAAAATAGTCCACACTGACCTTGGCTGTTCGAAGCGCGAATACAAGGGGGGAAGTTTCTAAAGTTTCAAAGCTCAGCCGAAAAAGCTGGTAAGCTAGAACACAATAGCGAAGACAGCTGCCAGTGTTTTGTTTAATTCAAAACCAACAAATCATGGAGCGAGGCTTCAACTGAAGCTCTCAAAATTCTTCAAGACTTCCTTTGCTGACCTTTCCGACTTCCGATCACACGGTTTATCATTTATGCACACGATATATCCTTGCTATACAGATTGTAAAGCTGAGCCTGGAATATCATTCCCTGAAGCTCGGCTCCGGTAAAATTAATTCCAATATTGTAATTTAATAAACCTCCAGTCGAAAGCGAGATTTCATCCAGCAGATCAAGGACTCAACCGATTACTCAGCGGTAGAGTTTCTAAAGGAAAGAACTGGCGTCTTCATTATACTTCAATGAGCCTTGAGCAACGAATTTACTCTTTTTTAAAAAAGTATCTTTTAGTCCATGATAGCTTCAGCTACAACGCTTGTACACAGAAAAATTGTACATCCCGACATTCTGTAAACAAAAGTATACACCCCGCTCTTGTTTTGATATATGATTTGTGAGCAATAATCTTGTCTGAGCTTAATCTGATCGTTGATCAAACATCGGTCATGTAGTTATTCATGACTTTGGCCTTAAATTCCATTTCCATGTAATCAGCTGCTCAAGGTTTCGCTAATCTCCCCACGACAAGACCTTTTTAGAAAGAACGATAGACAGCGACAGAGTCGTCGAAAAATCCCTTCCTGCGGAATGCAGCGAAACCTTTATTTAGATTTCCTTACTCGTATTGGTCTAATTTGTGTAATTACAAAATACCATCACGACAACACGTTCGCATGAAATTATATGATAATCTCGTCAACTTCAACTTCATCAGTGAGAAGAAATTCAGTCATTACGTTTTTACAGAAAAACATGATCTCATCGTCCTCAAGGTTTTTTGAGATGTCTCTCACTGGCACCGTGGTCAGGCACTTTGAGTTCACATTTTAGATTCTTCGCCCCGTTAAATTTATAGTTTAAAGTTCCAGAATTTTCTGGTTCCTGATTTCCTTTTTCCTTTTGCTTTCTTCACTCAGTATCTTTTTAAAATGAACAATAATCAAATTCTTTTATCGTGATCGCGTCAATTGAAATCATGTACGAGGGGTGAATAGTTCTAGGGGTACGTCTTTAAAAGGGATTTGCGATCGAAGCTACCTTTTTTCCCGATACTTTTATGTTTTAAAACGCATATTGAACCCAAAAGAATTTTGTCATGGTTCCCTAAAGCATCTATGAACTCACCACTGCCAGGAAGAGATAAAAACTAACACGATTCGGCATCCAGAAATTAAAATCCTTCCTCTTTACACTTTTATTTCCAACAAAACTTTGACGAAATAGTACCTTCGAAATCGTCCTTTATCTTTCCTCACTCTCAACTATATGAAAACTTATTCGAATATTAACGTTGCGATCGTAAAGAAAAGTATGGTCATGGAAAAAACAAAACACAAAAGTACATTCAAACTTGTCGAGTTTTCGTCAGGCTGACTATATGCGTGTCGACCGACCTCAGTAGCACATTTCAAGGTAACGATTTGGTTTATGAAATGTATGGATCATAATAGCAATGGGTTCGTAAGAACAAGAAGCTGAAATTTTGCGTCCAGTTTTAAGGAATCCCTTCCTAGTTAGCAAGATTATTCCCTTTAGTTTCAAAGAACCATGCGTTAAAACATGGTGCAATTATGTGATTCATTTTGTCACGCAGACGTTAGATTTCGCGCTCCGATACTCTGTTAGTTACCTTCGTGCAGCTCTTACCTGCAATGTCAAAAGTGTCGTATTTGTAGGTTTCAATAGATTGAAAAGGATGCTAAATTTCAAGCGCGGTTTACGAATAAAGAAAACCGTGCTCTTATTTTTGTCTCAAGTGAATCAAAGAAAAAATATGAACATTTTCCTACGCGAGTGAGATTAACTAAGAGCATCTATTTGTGATCGACAACTAAGCTAAAAATTTAGCTTCTTTCTTGAACTATTTACATCAATGGTATTGTTATAATGTAAGTTATCTAAGCGGAACCATCGAGTTCAGCTTCGATCGCGAATTGCTTTCAGTGCGAAAAAAAGGAGCTGGATCAGACTAAAGAAGCCTTTTCTAAATATTTAAAATGTGCAGCACTTTCAAAACATGGTGTAAAAGTTAACCCTAAACAATACCATACCTCTTGGAAAATATTGGGATAGCCAAACCACTTTCAAATATATCTCCCTAGTCAGGATCAACTGATCTCCTTGCAGTGAACAAACGAAGTGAAATCTTCGAGATAAGTCAGCCACTTATAACAATTAATTTTGATGTAAATTTGAAATTTAAATGAACTAGGAGAAGAATAAGCGGGTAAATATTTCTTTTCTTTCCATATCTTATCAAATCATGAAAAAGGCAAATATCTCCAGGAAAGAAATATACAACTGAAAACATTGGAAATGTAGTTTTCCGGGTATTATTGAGTTTGTGAGAGTTTTTGATTAGGCTTTGATTGTTCGATTTGAAATCGATAACAGTGAAAAATGGTTTTCAAATCGATGTTAGCTATCATCGGCTCATTTTCAAAAACTTTCATGCTTATCTTTAAAATTATTTCCTTCTTTGGCAGAAAAATTTAAGCGCAAACCGCGACAGAGCATTTCACGCTGGAGAAAAGCATGTTTGTTTAAGAACATGCTTCTATTTATTTAATTAGCACAAAGGTGATTTTGGTCTCCCAGTTAGACATGAACCCACAATACCTTTGGCATTTTTCATTGTTGGTTTGCGAGGAATACAATGAACAGCAATCGAAAGGATAAAGTTCTATCTGTATGCTTCGACTGACAGATACCAAAAACAATTCTGCTGTTAACATCGGTAAGTCCCAGATTTGTATTTATGTTAACTAATCATTTCATGATGGTGAAAACCGACTTCACTTTCGAAATTAGCTGTTGGTGACATTTTACTTAAAAATTTATAGTATTTCCTGTACTCTATTGGTAAACAGGTTATTGTTGACGTTGTCTGAGTTCTTTTTTAATTAAAAAAGTTCTCATGCAATTTCGGAATTAGTCTGCTACTGATCACGTTCGCACATTGACGAATGTTTGGCTGAATTTTCCTTGATTCGTATTTCCTTTAGTCTGTATTATCCGGACATGAGAAAAAGATTTGACGTTCTTTCAATTTTAAAGACATCTGTAGGTCCAAAGGAATCACCAATTTAGTCTAATCAACAGGACGGATTACCTTAGAAATAAAGACAATTTAGTAAATCGACAGAGGAAGATTTTTTGTTAATTGTTGTTACTAGATGAAAGATGAAATCACCAAAAAAAAAACCCCAGCACCATGGTCACGTACGAATCATAATTTTTTTTTAACCCTTCTATGCCTAGAAAGGTCTAATTTCGTTACCCGCTGACAAACAGTGTAGAAACAAAGTTACACAGATCAAATATTGTTAAATTACTTTAAATATTTAGAGCTCTTAGATTTTACACGGAGATTAACCAGTCATCTTTTTTTTTCTTAGCTCGAATTGATTGAATTGTAGTTTTCGTCTTCCATCGTGGTTTCATTTTAACAGCTCATAGAAATGCTTGGGTTGGCCTTCGAGAGTTTTTAATGACACCTGGCCAAGCAGCCGGAGTTAATCCCTCTCCGAATTAGCTCCAGGAGTAACGAATCTGGCTTACAACGAATATATTATCTCAAGCTGAGTGGGCAGAAACTGATGGTGTAGCCAAACAGTTTTGATACCAAGGTTACGTTCATGTGGGGCTAGAATGTTATTTTTTCTTTGAACGATTTCGACGGAATATCCCGTGACAGATCTAGCAAGGAAAGAGTGACTGTCCTTTGTCGTAAAAGTTCGGCATAAATTGTGGAACGATTGGAAGCAGAGCTTACTGCATAATATATTTTTAGGAGGACAATTCATCAAATCCTAACCCACAATTACAAAACTGTTAAATCAGAATATGAGAATTCGAATGCTAAGTATTTTATGCGGCTACAAACGCAAGTGAATGAATGCCCTTTTGTTGCGCCCCAAAAATAATTAGGACACATTTCTGAACGTTAGACCGCAGAAGGGGTCATTTTTGAAACAGTACATCAATAATTTTATTTAGGTTACACTAAATTGAAAAACGCTATTTATCATTCAGATAAGACATACATTAATTTCACACGCATATTGAGAAACTAACACGTACGTGTCTACAGTTACCATACCGTGTTATCTTACAGGTTTTTTCCTTTTTCCAAAGTAGTCAATGTTCCAATAATATTCCTGCAACAACACAGTTTTTTTTAAACTACTATCTCAACTGATTTCAATCACAATCACTGGTGTCACTTATCTTAAGCATCCAACAACTGGCTTGGGGGTAAATAACTGGAATAAAATCACCTTCAGACGTAAGTACTGGTTCATGATTCTTTTCAAATTATGTTAAATGTTTCACTAAAAAAACGATAACAAATATGTGACGTAAGTCTTTCCTTAGGTATAAAATAAAATATTTAATGCACATACATACTTATTTTAAATAGACCATCTCTCTTCTCTATTTTTTCCTTTACTTTAAAGAGTTTTTCGACGCTTTAGCTATCTTGATTTTGCGTTTACTTTCACCATTAATTCTCAGTTACTTATGGCAAAGCTGTTATTATTGTGATGCAAATTAAGCACACATATGATCTGCTATGACATGATGTGGGGTGCCGGAGACAGCTACATGCTGTCGCTTCGCCTCTGTTACACGGATTTTGTGGCTCTCGTTTCCTCAGTAACCAAAAGACGGGAAGACAAGCCATGCAATTACGCCTTAACTCTCCTGTAGTCCTAAGAATTTCACACTAGAATTTGCAGTCAGCGCTATGAATGGTAGGGAAATATTCGAAAGAATGATGGGGCCTACGAAAGATTTTGAAGCATACATAGCGAAATATACGTAACAGGAACGATGTCAATTTAAAATCTGCTGTCATTCGACGGCTGAAACCGAGTTCAGCTGAAGCAGAAGTTGCTGACATTCCTGCAGTGTTCGCTTGTCTCCGATTTTCTCCAGGGAAGTGGCAGCCTCAACCAGCATCTTCTTGCGTTGACACGGACCGGATAGGAAAGGCAGAGGGAGGTGTCGGCAGGCCATCATAAGGGCTGCAGCCTTCTCCCGCTCACCTGTTACACATGTTGTCTCTTCCTCGTCTCCTGAAAACAGTAAAAAAAACCAATCAATCAGTCAGTCAATCACCTGCTAACTAATGGTTGACACATTCAAGAAAAATAACCAAAAGATCACCTTCGTCTTCAGGCTGCTGTCCTTTGTGGTGACGAGAGGTGACCACTCGCTGTCTCAGCGTGCTCCTCTGTAACAGATGGTGAGTCTCAGTGGGGTTGGCGCCTGCCATTAGACGAGCCACAGCCTCGTATAAATAGAGCTGAGGGAAAAAATGGCACAACATTAGCCTCCAGCTCACACAGAATTAGCAGAGGGAACCTCGCTTATTGTCTTCATTTAAATGTAAGGGAAGAAGGCCCGCACAGAGAAAATTGGAGTTTTTCCTCCTTTATGTCTGAGGCAAGGGAAATGGGAGTTGTCCACATCATGGCTAACAAAAAAAAAAGGAAAGTTTACCCTTGGCAGAGCAGCTGGGAGGTTGTGGGTGAGTTTCTGCAAACTCTCCAAATCATTCTGAAACGAACGCAACTCAACCGGATCAGTTGGGACAGTCGCAGTAAAGCGAGGCTTCTGTGAAAATTCCCAGATATCCTTTCGAGTACCCAGCAGCCAATCACAGCACAAAAGCTGTGCGAGCTGGTGTAGGCGGCTGCTGGTGGACTGGTACAGAGACGATGTCAGGTTGATGCTCTCTTGCAGATGAAGACCCGACTTCTTGCACAGCTGTGCACAATCTTCAAGTGAGCTGGGTTGCGTGTCCCCACTCAAAATCTGTTTCTTAGCTAGGTACGCTCTAAGGATAGCTTTTGCTAATGGGTCTCTTGAGTTTGCCACAGGATCTCTAAAGCAGAACAAATTGTCATGGTCAGCAAAAATTGTAAACAATTTTACAGATGTTCTCAAGGAAGAATGACTGGAAGGGACAAAAGAGCATCAGAAGCATATCTGTTTTTTTATTTAACCTTATGTCAGCCATTTCTTTTTCAACATGACACTGTCAAAATAAAGAGGAGAATGATTATGAAACCACTCTAACCATCGAGAAATTAAGGGGCAGAATTCCCTGGACATTTGTTTAAAATACTTTTTAATTTTCATTTGTAATGGTCAATATTATACCATTCCCTCAACTGAACCAAAGAAAACCAGAGAAAAATCCTTGTGGTTTGCCTCAACAAAATACCCTTGTGATAAGGGTGACCATATCGTTAAAGATCAGGATAAAAAATGTGGCTCAGATATTTGTTTAAAAAACTGACAATGTCTATGTAGCGTGCAAGTCCAGTCCACTTACACACCATAACACATCTAACTTACTCTGCATTCCACAAGCTCTTGGGAACACTCTCAATTGTACTGTAAAACCTCTCAGCAGTCTCGTCTTCTCCTTGCAGCCAATGAACTGCCACCATTCCCACTGCTACCCACCATTTGGCAACTTCATCATCACCAACAGCTGAAGACATGTTGACAGGCTTCTCACTAGTAGATGCACACTCGTTCAGCATGTGAAGATACCTGAGGGCATCTCGCACACTCTTATCACCAGTGGTATCTTCATCTGTTGCACTTGGTAATACAATAGATGAGAGAGCATATCGGAGGAGGTACTCCCGGAATGCTTGACTCACATGAGCCACTGGGTTGGCTAAATGGTAAATTGCATCAAATAATTTCAGTCCAGTAGTAACTTCTCACACATAATTTATCTTCATACAGATGTAAAAATAAGGCAAAATAAAAGTAACATGTTCCACCAAATTCCGACCATCTGAAGCACAAAATGTTTGCAATAATACTTTTAAATTTGTTTCCATTGGTTACTATTTCTCCAGACCTGATGTGCAAGCCTTATGCTAATCCAGAAGTGAAAGTTATAGCCACGGCCAAACTCACTAGGTAAGAAACTTAAATAACAAAATGCCTTTCTCTATTCAGGAGTACAAATAAAGGTAGCAGCCAACTTTCAGGAGATTCCATCTGACAAAAATACTGTGGGAGAGGAGGGGTGGGGAGCTGAAAGATGGTAATCTACACTGAACTACTGCCCTATCCATGAAAGATCAAAAGGACTGTTATTTGCTCACTGCTGCAGAATTTATGGATACCCCTTGTACTTCACCTGCCCTACTCCATGCAGCAGACAAAAGGAGAGGAAAGTTTCTTTTTTACAAAATTACACTCACTTTTGTCACTTATACTGGCCCACATGCTATCACCTCCCTGGCAGGTCCACCGACTGCTGACAAAGAAGCGGTGTCCCTTTGGGCGGAAGAGCCACTGCAGTGAAGCTGGAACTGTTGTTCCACGAGATGCATAAGATGTTTGTGCCCGGCCAAGGAAGTACCTCTGAACAAAACATATGGTGTCAGCGTAACCATTCTAATACCTATGTCTGACAACATAAGAAAAGTCTGCAGACTTAGGATGGACAAAATGAAATGATACACAGACTGATGACACTGGAATATGTCAAAACTGAAAAAGTCTAATCAGTGAAAGAGCATACTGTACTCTCTTTGAATATTCAACTCACAGCAATAAAGTGAAGTCCATCTGGGAATGAAGTCCTTATCTGTATTGCAGCTGATACGTAGATTTCTGCTAAGATGTCGATGCTTATCAGTTTGTCCGCAGACTCTGCAAGGTTCACAGCTGCCAAGCCAAGAAAGGAAGAACGCCAGCCATTCACAGAGACATGACCTACAAAAATATACATACACTTGTACTATGAGAAAGTTGCACCTTTCCAATGATACTCTCTCACAACATACAGAAAGTTTGATCTAGCATGAATAATTAGAATAGTATTTTCTCCTAAAATTTAACTGAAGAATAAAAGGTAAAGCTTACAAACACTTGAGCAGCATGTGGGACCTTCAAAGAACATTACCTGTAAGGCTCAATTGATGCAACTTATGGTAGACTAAAGCTGCATCTTTGGCTGATATTTTAGCATAATCCTTTGTATCAGTACTTCGTCCCCATAAATTTATTCCTCCAGCAGCAGATGCAAGCCAAGTTCCAATCCATAGCCTCTGAAGAACATGACGCATCAACTGCCAAACAAGGCCACAAGCCACGTCAAGCTTTGAAACAGGAAGGGGACGTTTTAGTGCCCTGAGGCAAATTTCTAGGTGACGAGCTGCTGAGATAGTATCACCCTGAAAAAGAAATTGACAACTCTTAATTAATGCATACAAAGTCTCAAAGGCCATTACACTTCGAATTTGATACAACTGTGGTCATGTGACATACTTTCAACCACAACTGTAAACAACAAAGACAAAGCAATTTAATTTCCACATAACAAGACTCATCTAAAGGCTGTGATATTCATGTCTAGGCTTACTTTGACAGTGCTCCAAGCTGCCTCACAATGGAAAGCAGAAAAAAAAATTACTATGTGTTAATGGAAATGGTTCACACTGAGATAAACATTTGCATTAAATATCATAATATTGAAGTCCTGTTGCTTTCTCTCCAGCAAAATTGGCTATTTAAACTCAGTTGCCTAAGTATTAAGCTTTGAGAAGTTGTATGAACCTCCAAAACTGATTGTCAGGCAACTTTGCCTTAATTTCTGGCAATCATATTGAGAATTTAGGTAGTCACAACCTGACCTTGACAAAGTTAAGCTTGGTATTCACCTCTCCATTGTGCTCCTTTTAACCTTACCTTAATTAAGTCTTCATCAGCTTGATTTCTGTGTCTCCAGAATAAGACTGCATTATCAGAGTGTGGTCTCGTCACAGGCTCCCCAAACACAAAGATACGCACCAACACTGCCAAGGCTACAAAAGCATGCAGAGACCAGTTAAGGGCAATCAGGGCAGTATTCCAAAGCCAATTTTCCTGCTGTATGGTGACATTTTCCCCATAAGAATGCAATGTCCTTCCGGCAGCACGGGGTCTTTCACTTTCCACAGGGTTAGAGAAAAGCATACCTGTTTGAACAAAGTGCACTTTACAAAGACAGTTTGAGCAAAAACACTTTTGTTACCACCATAAATTTCCACATGTGAATAATAAAACCTCAAAGTTAGAATAGTATAGGTAGTTCAAAAGTCACAACCAAACATTTCAAAAAGGTTTTGTGATTACAGCATTTCTGTGCTCAAAGTTACTTCTTCTGCAACTGATTTTGTTTATACTAGAGAAAAATTTCAGTAGTGAATTTACTAGTTTGTTTTACTTATGGGAATTACATCAATGAAAAAAGACTCGTGAACTTATGCAACAATGAACAAGTGATGTTGAAACTTTCATAAAAACATGAAATTTAGGCTGTTCTGTGTACTATTCGTAATGACTGTCTTTCAAAAGAAGCGACATTGTGAAATTTAGGTAGATAACAGCAGTTAAAAAGACACCGAGGCTACTGACTTCACCTTTATCAAGCTGAGGCACAATGTAACTCAAAGGGTTGATAAACAAAAAGGTAAACATGAAAGCAAACAATGCCACGCGGGTGCGATCCATCATTCCACAGCTATTGACAGGCAGGGCTTCTACTTTGATGTGAGTCTTGTCTTTGCTCTGTGGATCTGGTGTAGGAGGTGTAAGAGGGCTTGTTATAACACTACTAGCTTTGGCAACTTCTTCTATCTTGTTGGATTCTTCACTCTTTACAGCTTCAGCCTCCGTCATAGTGCAGTCTTCCATTACCTCTTTCTTTACCTGATGTTCCTTTTGCTTTCGAACAAGCTCTGTGATGGTTTCTGAGTAGGATTGAAGGGAATTAATCCATTTTTTTCAAGATCAATATAAAGCAGTATTTTACCCTAAGTAAGCGCAAACAATACAAAAGTGCTCAAAAGTTTGTTTTAACCTACAGAATGTTAATGAACCAGCCTGACAAGAGTACTTCAAACCAAGGAAGTACCTTGTGACATGTGCCTGTTACAGTCCCCAGAACACATTAACTAGCCTTCTGAAATACATGTAGACAGTACTTTGTGTAATATGTGCATTTTACTCCTTGTCTTACAAAAACAGTATCAATAGTCTTTACCTCTTTTTTGCTGTGCCATTTTCAAACTCATGTTTTCTTGTTTGAGGCGTGCATTTTCATTTTGGAGCTTCATTATTACCTCTATGGCCTTCCGCAACACACCAGCCTTGTTCATCTTAAAAAAAAGTGGCAACAACATTAAAATCACACACACCCTTAGCAAAGTTCCTGTTTTCTTTCTTTCAGCAAACTGCAATGCTTCTACAAAAAATGGTAAAAATTTTATTTTTATAGTTTTAGATAATAATAAGAAACAATGATTGTTTCAAAATGATAGCCTCACCTTTGCATCTGGCCCACACACAAGGTCTTTCAACTCCACAATCTTGTCATTGATACTTGTGCGGTATCGCTTCTCAATCAAATTGTGAGCTGATCGCTTTTCTGTTTTGACTCCTCCTTGGCCCTTACCATTTGTCAGGCGACTAATTGGAATCTTGTTTGGATCCAAGACAATGGGAATTGTAGCTGTTAGGACCCCATTAGGACCTTGGGACAGTGTGGGCTGAATCTGTGATTGGCTAAGTTCAATAGTTCCAATGACAGTGGAAGCAGAATCTGGCTTTACGATCTGTGGTTGAACAAGATTCTGGAAGATACAGAGTTACAAACAATTTAAACACACAGCACTATTCTTACATTAAAAGAGTTCAAGAAAAAATTTGAGCATAATAATCTTTACGAGGGAAATTCAGTCTTTTTAGGGAATTTCTATAATAACTGAAATTTCATACGAAAGGTGTACTTGTGAGTATGATCATGGTTTCTAGATACATGTAAATGATGGTTCAATTGTTTGTCTTGAGACACAAAATCACTATCACTCTACATAATAGACTTCAATGTTTTCACTAGTAAATTGCATGTTTCCAACAGATGATGTGTTTGAATTGTAATGTATCACAAGAAGAAGCATGATGTTTAGCTGCTATTGGTGCAATTGTGAATGCTATCATGGGCCCATTATGTTACTTTTCTTTAATTTGGACCAGCTAAAAAAATTCACACACATCTAGCCACAATCAAGGTGAAACAAGTGATAAATCCTCCCGAAAGTCAGGGAGAGATTTCAACCAGACTACACTTCATTAAAAGAATCACTCACCTGCTGAGTTTGTGGACTTGTGACTTGTGAATTTGAATGAACAGGCAACACTGGAGAAGTTGGATGGACAGGGGATCCTGGTGCTGATGACAGTGAAGAGATAGAGGCTGGAGAGGGAACCTGTTGTTGAGGAGATAACTGTTCTTCAGGAACTACCACTTGCTGCTGTGGCACTACAGTTGTGCTCTGTTTGGGTAACACACCCAGTTGCTGCAAAAGCTGTTGTAGCAGAGTGTTCTGACTTGATGAAGGCTGGCTTGTTGAACACTGTGGCTGGACAGTTGGCAGCTGAAGCTTTGGTTGTAATTGCGGCAGTTGCTGCTGCTGCTGTTGTTGTTGCTGCTGTTGTTGCTGTTGCTGTTGTTGCTGCTGCTGCTGTTGTTGTTGCTGCTGCTGCTGTTGTTGTTGATGTTGTTGCTGCTGCTGTTGCTGTTGCTGTTGTTGAAGCAGCAGCTGCAGGAGTTGAGGGGTTGTCTGAGACATCTGTGGTACCTGTTGTGTAACAACTGTTGGCTGTTGGACTGTAACAGCACAAGACTGTGAGGTTGGTGCAAGGATTGAAGGCTCCTGAAGAAGCTGTTCTAAGCTCTTGGTGTGCATTGCAGGGGGAGCTGGTTTGGAATTCTGTCCTTGAAGTAAATTAAGCAGGTACTGGGTGGTGGTGTTCTGATTCTGTGTAGGAGTGCCATGCTGACCAGGATCACAAACTCCTGGCTCCTGTTTCACCTTTACCTTGGGTTGAAACATAGGAAATGGTGATTGGTCTTGTTGTTGTGTTGTAAGTTTGGAGAGATAGTCTGCAAAGTTCAGTGAGGATGAAGAATCATCATCTGTATCCATTGACTCTGGAGGTGTGATTGGAGGTGAGAGAATAAGCTGTGAAGGGTCAGTCTTAAGGTTCACCCCAGGTGAAAGTGCTGTACTGTTTTGTTCCTGATCACCATCAGATGGTGCTCCACAAAGGAAATCCAAAAATCCCTCTAAATACAAAGATGAAGATGTCATAAATAAAACCAAAAAAAAAAATAGAAAATTAACCAGTTACCCTACAATTGCACATCCGTGTTATAGACACTTATCATTTTTTCCTAACTGATTCTCCAAATCCTGTTGAATTATCTAGGGTTTCACAGTAATTAAATATACTGTGTAATGGGATCAATAACTCATAAGACACAGAAAGAGAGAATGTGCAAAAAAGCTTACTCATATAGGAGGCTGAACACCTATTTATCTATCAAACACAAAAAAGTTTTATTTGGAATATCAGACATAAACAAGTCAACATGTTAAGAGAGAGTGCAGAACTAAGATAAGAACCTCTTTAATTAATGCAGGTCTACAAACCTCTTCACTTAACATGTCACCCATACGTAATATGAAGTTGATCTACATGACCTTGCACAAATTGTCTCATTTGTCTAACTGTGTGATCTACATTTGCCTTCTAAAAGAGGTTTCAGTAAAAGAGAACAATTCACAGACTAAATGCTGTTTTACAGACTGCATACTAGACAGCTTGGCTAATGAATTCCATACATTAAAGATTAACCACAAACCTAAACTACTAACTGACACTTGCAGCGATAAGCACTGTTTGTAAACCACAATGGAAGTAGCTTTGCTTCCATGAATTAGGCAAAACTTACAATCATTTAATATTTCATGGACCAAGTTTGGCGAAACAAAACTACATTTAGCCAGTATTTTGATGAATTTTACTCCTTGTAAATTTATTTACAATCTGAAGGTAAATACACCCTATGTGGACGATTTCGCTTCAGACGTGAAAAGAAATATGACCTTGCTAAGCTCAGTTATTTAACAGCACACAAGTATCCACCCCTGACATGCCCTGATCAAACCTTTTTATGCAACAAGCCAATCACGAGACATAACCAACGCATGCACGGTCCGTGGTTCACTTAATCAACAACAAATGTCACATGCACATATGCAAAACTGAAAATAAACTTTGTAACATGCAAATCTTGTCACGAGAGTGCATGCCCAAAGCTTATTAATCGGTGTCAGAAAAGAAAGTTGGTTGTTGAGGCTTTAGGAAAATACAATACACGAGTGACTATAAGCATAATTTTAATCAAGCGCATGGGCTGCCTTACGCTTAAGGAAGTGAAACAGAACATAAATTAACAATCCGCTTAGAGTCACATTTATATCTGCTACGCGTGTGAACATTCGCACTCAACTTTGACGACACTAAACATCACAAGTGAAAAAGAAAACTTTTGCAAGATCTTTTCATTCATTTCGAATCATCTGGCGAACTTAACTATGGTAATTTACCACCTTTTCTCTGATATGAACGAAACATCCTTGTAACTTAATGCAAAAACAACCACGAAGTTACGGTGATCTTGGACAGGAATTTAGCGAGTAATACGGACACTAGGTAAAGATATGAAAAGATTAATAAACTTACCGTCAAAATCGCCTATCATAGGATCATTCATGGCTCTATCATCGTTAAAATTCGTTCCTAACTCAGGTATCGTTTCACTCAAAAGTGACTGCCATCCATCGTCCGGAGGGTCCGCCATTTTGGCTTCATCACCAAGCTATTTTTTTCTACCAATCACAGCGCGGCTAGATCGGGTGATCTTCGAACGATTTTGCGTCATATTTTTTTTCGGATAGTATCCCACATATACTTGCGATCTTTGGGAGTTGTTTCGTGGAGTGTCGTGGGACTGTTTTGAAGGGTTGCCATGGTAATGACGTCACAGCTAATGGTGCTTCGTGATCAAAAAACATGGCGAAAATTGGGAATGATACTTTCGTTTGGACGGGAGAAGTGTTATCTTTGATGAAGTGATCGATTTGCGGTGGAAACAGGTACATTTTAGTGTTTTTCTTTAATTTGATCCACCAGAAGGCAAGTGTTTGGGGACAGATTGTTGACTATTTTGTGCGGGTGTTTAAAGTCTTAGGCATTTGTCAGTCTTGACACCTCACTACCTGAGGCCGTCGACGAAAGTTACTTTCGAAGTCTCTTGTGTAGAGGCTCTTGAACCACTGTGTTTTATTCATGTTTCAAACTATGAAATAGACTGGGTGAATGTAATTAAATCGGTACACTCGACCACAAATTCAAAGTTATTGTGGGGTTACACTTGCCATTTAAGTTCAAAATCATCTCGACCTAAATTGGTCCTCTAAGCAAAAAGAGAGCTACTCTATGCTTTAAAATTTTACATTACATTAGTTCTCTTGCGTACTTGATGATCAGTTTAGTGATAATTGTATTTGGTACCTGACCAATGCTAAATATTTATTCATATTTGTGTTCAATACATCACCACTGTCGAGGTTTTCCTAAACCCCTATACCCCTAAGAGTGACTTGCATCCAATTCCTAACTCCAACTAAAGATGCTCTTGATTGTTAAACAAGTTCTCCTTGACAGCTAGTTAAAAAAAGTGTAGAGAACAGTATGGAGAATATGCATACTGATGTTAGGGTGTGAATGGTTAAATACCTCTTTGTAGCCTTATTTTCCTGGTCCTAGCTGTAAGTCCAAGCATCAAAACACATATGTCAGCATATGTCTCTATGTTTTAAGTGGAGTAAAGCAGGCCTTTTCATTTTATAGTATTAACGTTTAGAAGACCTCTTCAGAACTCAAGATGACCTCACTGGCTACTGCGCTTCCTCCTATCAAAGTTGGTGGCCAGGTCACTCAGCAGGTCATTCGACATGTCCCATCTCCACCAGCCAAAGGTTCCTCTTTAGGAAGTCCATTACGAAGTAGCAGAGGAATACAAAGACCAGAAGGCTCCTTTGTAAGGAGTCCTCCTTCTGATCTGAAGAAAACAGCTAGTTATGAAAAGATTGACACTTCGAGGTATGTAAATACATGTGTGGGAGTTACCAGTCATGAGAAATATTTGTATTGATTTAGAGCACAAGTGTAGTAACTCGCTGAGAGACTGATATGTGCTTCTGTCGACTGTACTAATCATAAATCTTTGTTGTGGCAGGTATCGGAATACCTATGAGCACAATCTTTGCCTTGACATGTTGAAAGAAGGTTTCCATCAGTCATTTCAAGAGCTGTTTAATTTGATGGAGAAACAGAAACAAGATATAAAAAGTTTAGGAGCAGACTCTGGTCTGTCCGATCAACCTTTGTTAGAAGATCAACCAGAGAAACTCGACCAACTGAAATATCATCTAACAACAGCAGAGGCAGCAAAGAGAAGGGGTGAGTTACAAATATGTGATGTGCTGATATCCACCATTGGTATAGATATCATGAAGATATGAAATTAACTATTGCTTGTTTTTCTCCCTTTAATTTTTAGGCAAGATGGACCAAGTTTATCACAGCTTATTGGCCCTGGCAAGATTCTTTGAAGAGGCTGGTGACTTTTGGCTTTCAGATCACTTTTATGGCTCTTGTTTGAAGACAAGTCTGAAGATTAGAGGAGATGGAAGAAGGAAGGAATCAGAGGCTAACTGCAACATGGGATTGGCCTCTGAGAAAAGAGGTAAAATTGTTGATCAAAAGACAGGGTCCAACAACATCTGATGTTTAGATCAATTCTTTTTATGGTTTCCCTGTCTTAAAGCTTATGAAATATGTTATTTCAAAAAATATATTAAAATTATAAAAATATATTAAGTTTTGCAAACAAAGACAAACTAGAGTGTGTACAATAATGCTGTTAGTGGTAACTTATTCATGATTTTTTATTTACAGGGGACTTGTTCAAAGCAGCAGAGTATTTAGAATCATTTTACAACTTGACTAAAGGGCGACTGTGGCAGACAGATGATGGAGAAAATCTACATTCACTCTCTTGTGGACACCTTAGGAGAGTGTATACAACCATGGCAGATGAGGTATAGTGCAAACAATATCTTAGGCTAGAAAATTTGACTTGGATCTCTGATATTAAACCAGAAGTGAATATAGATCTACTATGTAACGTGTTCTATTTATTTCCAATCTGTGATTTTTCTTTCAATTTTCATAGGTTAAAGAGGTTGACTTGATGAAGTCAATAGAATATCTCCTGAAAGCATATGGAATGGCAAAAGAAAGTAAGTCTGAAAATTCCAGGAGCATTCTCTTTTGCTGTTTGCCTGTCTGTCTCCCTTCCTCTTGACTGATATATTTTAATGCCCATAATAATATTTTTTTTAGGCAGATAAATGATCTTGCAATTTCCATTTCCATCTGTAAAATCAAACAAACAAACTTCTATGATTCTGGCTTTGTGATAGGTGGTGATAGTCAACAAGAAGGTTTGGCTGGCTATCGCTTGGGATGTGCTTATGAGGAGATTGGAGATGCTGAAACAGCCATTCTGGTAAGAAATAAGAGAGGTTTCATCAGTAAGAAAATTTGTCTTGGTGTAATGGTGTAACTGGCAACTCAGTTTACAGATAGCTAATTATCATGCTTGATATATTTTTTAGTATCATAATGGGTACTTGGAGAAATGCCAGCAGAACACAGATGATGTTGGAATGGGGAGAGCTTGTCAGGCCTTAGCAAGAGCTTATGAGTTGTAAGTTCTTTTATTTTGTCTAATAATTTTCCAAAACATGTACTAGCAAGGTAGCAGATATACAATTTGGCAAATGTTTGCTATTAAATAAACCATCTCTTAAAAAAGTTTCAACCTGAATTTTTTATTTGTTTAAGTTAAGTTTTTGGGTGTGTGTAAGCAAGGGTATAATTGATTCCTTTCACAGGCAAGGAGATGTGGAAAGTGCTATGAAGTATCTTGAGATGTTTGTTGAGTTGGCTGATCGATCTCAGCAATTACCAGAACAACAGAGAGCTTGTACAAGTCTTGGTTCTATTTATAACTCCCTGGTAAGACAAGAGACCTGTGCATGGCACATTTGAACTTTATTATTCATTCAATATCCTTTATTTTCTTTAGCTATTCCAAAGTTGTGCAAATAGTTTTTTGAGCCTTATACATGAACTGAGCTGCTAGCTAGCCTTATCCATCTATTGCTATTTGTGAGGTGTGATTGGAAGGAAACCAGCCAATATTCAGCGGCCACAGATATAGCATCATGATTTTCTGACAAAAGCTCTTTTTATTTCCTTTATTCAGGGAAAGTATGAAGATGCTGTGCGCATGTACAGGAGAGGCTTTGAGATAGCTCAGGATCTGGCTGCAGTTGAAACCACTGAAACAACAAGAGTGGAATATGGAGTTGCTTTGGCACACACTCTTCTTGCAGGCTACTCTCAATGTATGGATCAGGTTAGCAAGAGTAATATACAAAGACTGCTTGACTTTAAGAGCTCAAGATGGGACACTTTCTCAGAAGAAGCAACTCTTGGTGATGAAGAGGGTGAAGAGAATGAAGGAAGTCAGCCAAGCAGTGTTGTGGGTACAGGAGAAAGTGAGGACTCAGTTGAGGGGGAGGGTGACAAGGAAACTAGAACTACTGACCCTACTGCCGAAGGAGAAACCAAGGATGTGCAAATGAATGGTGGATCAGATTCAGGGGTGACAAGTGAAGGAGAGAATGGGAAAGATGACCATCTTGAAAGTCAACCAACAGAGTAAAGTATTTGCAAAAGAACATTGAAACAAAAAAAGATAAATGTATACATGACTTGTGAGATATAATTCATTCAAACTGAGTGTGAGCAGAACAAGGGTCCACTGGGAGTCACACCAGATTTTGCTGAAGAATGGGTCAGTGTACTCCAGTCAGTAACCTTTGGCAAAGTGATTCTATTTTCTTACAAATGAACAAAGATTCCCTTTTGATGTGACTAATTTGCCAGACCATCTAATCTTTAAAAAGAGTGTTATAAGAATGGCAGGCTGCTTATTTATTTCTTGTCACAATTCATCATTCCTCTGTTAAATTGAAGGGTTTGTTACCAGTGACTGTTTTTTTTTTTTTTTAGGTATTAAGATACAGAAAGTTTACATTTTACATAATGTGCTTGGCATGCACTACACAATCGACTATTTCTACATTGTACATATGAGTATCATTGTAAAAATGTAAATTAAATCTCCCTTTGTGTGTGGTGGTAGAAGTTGTGCTTTTACTTCCAGTATCAAATCATAAAAACTTCTTGCAGTAATAAAAAATTATGGGGTGCCAAACCAGTCAATATTCCCTCAGTCTGTATTTCTGTGACCTAGTCTACTTTTTACATGGTCAATTCAACTTTTTATATGGTCAACTAGAGTTTTTATGTGGTCAATTTTTTACTTTTAATAAGATCAATTTTTACTTTTCATATGGTCAACTTTTTACTTTTTATATGGTAAAGTTGACTTTTTTACATGGTCAACTTTTTTCATATGGTCAAATTTTTACGGTCAACTTTACACTTCAGACTTCAGACTAATAAAGTGCAGACTGAGGGTAAAATGCAGACTGCAGACCAAGGGTAAAATGCAGACTAAAAGAATCAACTGTTTATGACTGTGGTCTTGACCTGATTGTGAAGCGCAAGAGCAAAGTGTTGAATGTCTTGAAGCTTCTGATACAGAGCACCAATTCCAAGATCATGCCTACCTTCACAGTAGGTGAAGTCAAGGTGAAAAAAAGTAAAAAGTGATCTTATTAAAAGTAAAAGGTTGACTGCATAAAAACTCTAGTTGACCATATGAAAGGTAAAAAGTTGAATGTATAAAAAGTGAACAAGGTCACAGAAATACAGACTGAGGGAATATTGACTGGATTGGTGCCCCATAAAAAAATTGTTTGATGTTGGGCTTTTATCAATATTCAGATGCAACCATGCTACTTGTAGACAAGACCACTCAACATTACTCATCATTTAAGAAGTTTATTTTCACATCACTGCTCATTACAATGCTATTACTGCTCAGTTACATGACACAACCATCAAGCACATTGAATAATTATCAACCACAACCAAAATCTTCACTCAAATAGTTTGAACCCTTCTACAATGGGTTTTTTTTTTCACTCTTCAAAATTTGATTCACCTCCAAAGAAAAAAAAAGGAACTTTTGTACAATGGAATTGTACTCATCAAAATCCAAAATCCAAAACACCTTTTGAACGCATGAAAGGCCATTAATGAAATGTCAACTTCAAATTTAGACAAAGCAGCAAGAAGTTGCCTCCTCCCTTGGCAATTAACTGTAACAAACACTATTTGGTAATCTTATGAGGGAACTAGAAAAAAAGATAATTTTCACTAAAAAAAAAAAATTGAACCTCTTGAATGGCACAAACACTTAACTGGTCTTGAAGGTATTTCTCCTCCCATTCATGTTTCTCTCAATGTTACTACAGCAGAAGAAATTACAAATCCTGAGAGGAAAAGGCCTCTATTCCAAAAGGCACCAGAAAATGTTTTTTTTTAAATTTCTGTAATTATCACTTAAAAATTAAAACTTAATACACTTGGCTATACAATCATTTAGTTTCCAGAAGGCTCCCAGATACCAGATCTGTCTAATTTTTTTGAAACAGTTCTATGCAGTTGACATTTCATATGCATGATTCCAATGGTTAGCAATTCCCACAAACTTAGTAAATGCTAAATTAAACTGAAAAATTACCACACAAAAAACAACAACAATTGGCTACATATTAAGCAGGATGCACTGTGAGATGTCCATCAATTCTTCCCCTCAAACTGCATGGCATCAAGGACTTTGTTGAGATCATAACCCTTGGTAGTTATCAATTGCCGCAGCCAGCCACTGTCATCTTCAAATCCCATTGCACGCATCTTTGCTATGGCTACCTCCAGAGGGTCAGATGGGACTTCTTCATCAACTGTTCCAGAGGCTCCTTCTTGTGTCTCAGCATTCTCATCAACCAAAACAAACTCCTCTGGAGGCTGGACATCCTAAAAAAACACACTTAGGTTGTTTATACTCAAGTAATTACTTCTGGCAGTTCCATGAGGTACAAATATGTCAGCACATACCCCCATCCATAGATGGGTAAGTGCCTTGTCAGATCTAAGGGGTGGCAGAAAGTACTTTGAAAAGTGGAGGGTCATGCTTTTTTTTTCCATCCTCAAATTATGCACGGTTGCTGTTATTTAAGAACACTGGGATGTGGAAACCCACATAACCCAAAAACGCATGCTTGACAGATCATTGCAACTTGAATGTAACATATTTTCCTGTCATTTATAGATTCCTACCATAACCCAAGTCATGCAGTTACAATGAAGAGGAGTTGTACTGCTGTAATGATTAAGAAAATTTACTAACACAGGGTTTGGCATCTCCCAAGTCTAGTATTTCAGCATGCACCACCACTTATAGGGGTGAACTTAATCCATTTTTCATATCAAGAAAATATGTTAGATTGTGATAAATTGTCCCAAAGTGATTTCCTCACCATTGCAGAAGTTTCTTTTTCATTTGTTTGTGTGACATTTCCTGGAGCACTTTCATTCATGCCATCATTAACTGTTTGTTCTGTGAATTCTTCAGCAGGACCAGTATCTGCAGTAGGTTGTTGGTCACTTTCCTGACATCTGCCTTGACAACAATCTGCATTCATAATCAGAATCATGACATTAAAGAAACACAGCATTTCCTCCCCATTCACAATTAATTGTTTCTTTAAACATTTCCCAGAAATCTGTGATGCAAGAATGTGAGTGTTATTCCTTAGTATCCAAAGCTATGAACAAAATCATCTTTTCCAATCCTAAAGTTAAGGCTATTTATCCCACAGGAAGTTTCCAAAATTTAATTCATAACACTCTTAACTTTTTATTGGTTCACTGATTTAGGAATTATAACAACCTCTAGCCAAAATCAAAACATGTTCTATACTAATGAAGTCAAGCAATCCAGTTGATGTGCAAGGCTTCTGTAAATGCATACCTTCCTCAGTACTTGCATATGTGTGCACCTCTACACCCAGAGGCCCAAGAAATGACGCAATCGTCTCTCCAACGGCATGAAGAAAGGGCGGTCCAACAGGAACCTCTCCAGTGTTGGCCTCTGTATGGCGATCACATTTCTTTCCTCCGCTGTTGCAACGGCCTCTGGCTTTGCCACAACGACCACGGCCCCCTCTACGGCCAAATCCACGTCCCCATGGGCCAAATCCACGTCCAAAGTCAAATTGATAGGGAGGAATTCCATGAGGAGGAGGAGGACCATGAGGGGGGTGGTGTGGTGGATGACCATGAGGGGGGTGGTGAGGTGGGTGACCATGTGGGGGGTGGCGAGGTGGATGACCAAATCCAAATGGGTTGAAGCCAGGGAACCAGTTGTCTCCAGGAGTTCTTGGTGTTGCAATACGTAGCATCTCATGTTCCTTATGCATTCCTTTAGTCTCGCAGGTCATGCAAAGGTCAAAGTCTGGGCAAACCACACACTTGAACCGGATCCCAAAGATGTGCTTCTCACAACCATCGCACACCACACCAGGGTGGGCTGTGTCAGAGTCCTGTTGTTCAGCTGAGTCCTCTGAAAAATATAAAGTCAACAAAATCAATGCAAATTTAATAATGTTGGTGTTCATCCTTATAAAAATCTGTCGACAGACACAAGAAAAAAGCAAAGACGAAAAGAAAAATTTAACTGGCAGTAAACGGGATTCAGTGTAACTGCTGTCTCATGATGATCAGGCAAAAAGATTTCCCTTTCACACCTACTTAGTTGGACCTGCCACGTCACCTACTGTCTGCAAAACATTCTTGATAAATGTGCAAGAAAAAAATAATTGTATCCGACAATAAGCTCGAGGCTTAGTTTTTTCAATCGGTCAATTGGGAAACAAACAGATGGAAAAAGTATAACATCTTACCAACATTACTGGCGTCCGGTTCACCACCTTTCACAAATACACGAAACACATCGCCACTGATACTTCCTAATGCTTCCACCAACTCTTCATCGCTCGAAAATGTTATCATCTCGTTGTCGGCATCTACGAAGAGAAAAATATGGAGTACATTCAGTTACATAACAAAACATTGGAATAAAAAACAGTTATAAAAAAATTGGCATCGCCCTTCTTTCCTTTAGTCTGTTGGTTAAAATCTTTATGCAATTTGTTCTTCCAAACTTTGTTTTTCTGTCCCTGTTTAAGAGAACAGCTTTTAAGTGAAACTTGTACTGGTACAAAACACAGAGAACTCGACATTTCTCACAAGAGATCGAGCGTGCAAAGCGAATTAACAGAAAACCAATTATCTTACCTTTCCAAAACAATTTGAACACCTTGCCCCTGACGGATGGAAAGACCTGCTCGATCTTCTGCCTCAAATAGGCAAAATTGGCTGAGGCACCTTCGTCGATAGCAAAACGACGAATTTCTTGCTGATTGGTTTCTGGGTTCAAATACGCCTTCACCGAGAGAGCCATCTATTTTCTTGTGTTCCACTAGAATACAGTGAGAATTACCGATACAAACTGATCGATAACTTGTACAGGAATAAAATGAATACCACGTGTCACTGTGAGTTTTATAATGCAACCCTATGTGTTCGAAAAACGTTCGAATACGTTTGTCAGCAATTTTTCTGCCTTGTCATTTATACAAGGTGTTTGTAAATAAAGGATGATGGTATACGTTATCCGAGCTCGGTCGGGAAAACTGGAGATAGGAAACTTTTGTGCCGTGTGGGCTCCGTGCGGGCTCCGTGCGGGTTTCTATCTCCACCCTTCTTAGGCTAGGGAAGAAGGCCCGCAGTTCATTGAGCGTGCTACATTTTCTTTAATGTTCTTAGTGTGTGGCGTATGCTTGCAGCACAATTTTTCCCCGACGTAATTCGTGGCATGAGTCCAAAGAAGTCCTGATGAAAAGACGACAGAATAATTTTTTTCGCCGAGGTCCCGCTTGTCTATCATACACACCGTCAATTTGAGAAAGACTAGACTCATCAAAAACGAGAGATGTGACTCTGATCAATATTCGATAAAACAACTGCTGTACGGGAAATTAGTATCCTGGTCTCTCTTTCGAGAACAAGGAGTATTATGTTCGAGGACCTTATCTGCATCCAGGCCCCAAATGAGAGAAGTACCCGGTTCCACTAGAAATATGAGAGGTGCGTCTGCGCTATGTCATGTGACGATGAGTCAGCATTACGTTAAGGGTCCAAATTAGGACGGGCCGTGAGAGAGAAATAACAAAACGTGCCACGTAGACAAGCACTCACAAATACAACACCCGTAGTTGTGTTCCATAGGTTTGTGCGCCTTTGCTCCTTGGATCTTCGTCAATATAATTTTACCTCTCATCCTATTACTTCACAGAACTTCCTTGTAGAAAACTGATGAGCGCTTCTCTCGTTTACTTTTCGATATTCGGTGAGGAATAAGTATTTTCAAGCGGGAAACGAGACACATTCGCTGGTGAAACTCGATGAGATGTCTTCTGAGCGATATTTAGATAACAAGGTGAGAGATACAGAAATTAATCACACTGACTTTAGAAGTTAAATTCAAATGTAGCGTTGCGCGAAATGTTAGTGAATCATAAAATGGGTTTAGTTGGATAAGATAATTCTTACATTTGGGTGACTTATGATTTTTTTTTAATTACGCTTGTCTTAATATAAAACGGGCATGGATTACATAAGCATGAATATACAAAAGGTTTCCCAGTCATGATTTCAGACACCCACTCTGCTTTCCTTATTGGATGCTTTTTGAAATTTGATTTTCACAGCAGTTTTCTGCCAACTGATTGATATTGTTGATAACCCTTAATATCTGGACTTGAAGCATGACTCGTAAATGGTTAGGTGGCGGAAATATTTGCGTTGACTGGATGACAGCGTTTTGTGCTTGCAAAATAAAACCTTCATGTCATTAATTTTCTATGTCACGCAATTACGATTTATTTTGAATAGCGTCGATCAATCGTAACGAAAAAGGGTTGAAATCATGTTCACGAGGCGAATCATTTATCATCAAAATAAATTTGCAGTACGTCAAGCGATGATGGAATTAGATCATTCACTTTCTGATGAAATTTGAATGGCTGTCGCAGACTTAGAACTAAATGTTCACAAGGGTTGATACTAGCCTTGACATGTGACCTCCAGCTTTGTTCTCTTAGTTTGATATGTAACTTATAAGAAGCAAATTATTTTTTTGTTTAAGTGCACAAAAGCATTCAGTGGAACACAAACAACAACTATGAATTTTTAAAACGATTACCCTGTTCGAGCGGATGACCGCGCCCTATTCTCGAAAGAACTCTTTATCTACGTTCATTTTCGGCTCTTTCAAATGAACTATAAGTTTTGATGTTGATTTAGAAGGTTTCTGAAACCCTGTACTACTGAACATTCTGAAAATTAAAAATATCGGATAGATATGACATGACCCTTAACGGCTTTTGGAGGGCTTTTGTTCTCAACACTGTCTTTCGGAAAGTTTTTTTGTCAGTGTTAGCGTATTTCGAGGCGGCTTATTTCGTTTGCTATATTGGGACGTGAGTATTTATTTTCAAATTCTTTTCTTTAATTGGGGGGGGAAGGGGTAGACTGTGAGCATGAAGTATTCAGACTTCCACTTATTTGCATCTCATTAAATGAAAATAGAGACTTAATAAGTACTTCGCTCTTCGAAGTTCTATGTCACATGTTAAAGATGAGGGCATAATGAAGCAGGGTAAGTGTTTTTTGGGTAATTTCCACAAGTAAATAAAGATTTCAGGTTTGATAAGTAATAAGTAATCTATGAGAACTAAAAAATCTCATATCACGTGACCGGTTGTAAAAGCACGAACCAAGATGGCGGATTCAGCCGAAGGGGAAGGAATTATGTCTTTCTTTTCGTGACGAAAACATTTCCTCCGTCGTTACGACGTGAAAAATCCAATATTAATTGTTCTGTTATTTTGTGGAGTATTAGTACAATCCATCACACATAAGAGCGAATAACCCAATCCCCGAATATCAAGACACTTATTTCCTTGGGCACGGCGATAATTTTTGTTGAGGGAAATAAGCTGAAGCTTACCGAAGTTCCCTAATTGGTCCGGTAATTTTGAATCCAAATCCTGCGACCAAGGTTTCTTCGCGCAATGGATCCTCAGGTGAGGGCTAAGTTAAGTCTAAATGGAGGTTTGGATGGATTTTGAAAGTCATTTTTGAGCTACGTTTGATTTACTGATTGTGATGCAAATAGTTGTACGTACGTTTCCTACAATGATTAATGAACTAAATGGGCACAAGATCAACTTGGTAGAGATTATGGCAGCATCAAATGTGTTGTTTATTTGATAACTGTCAAAGTGTACCTCGAATTTAGCTCATGTACCTTAACTGTTTTTAGATAAATAATGGCAATCAACCAAGTTTCATGGTGTATGAGCATAACACACTCGTAAGCTCAATTTATTTCAGGAGAATGAAGATTCTTGTTTTGCATGATTAATTCTGGTGCATATAGACAGTATTATAAATGCTCTAAGATATTTTCAGATACTGAAACATTTGATCGAAAGGTATGCGTAATTGCAACACACAAGGGGATGATCTTGAAGTTAGTAAAAATGGATCAATTAATTGAGTAATTTAAATATACAGATCGATCAAAGTGTACCTCGAATTTAGCTCATGTATCTTAACTGTTTTTAGATAAATAATGGCAATCAACCAAGTTTCATGGTGTATGAGCATAACACACTCGTAAGCTTAATTTATTTCAGGAGAATGAAGATTCTTGTTTTGCATGATTAATTCTGGTGCATATAGACAGTATTATAAATGCTCTAAGATATTTTCAGATACTGAAACATTTGATCGAAAGGTATGCGTAATTGCAACACACAAGGGGATGATCTTGAAGTTAGTAAAAATGGATCAATTAATTGAGTAATTTAAATATACAGATCGATCAAGCATGCAGCATTTCAACATTTATGAAATCACTGTAACATATTAGAATTGAACAAAACAACAGTTTTGGAAGTTCAGATGTCTGTGAAAACCCATTGAGAGAAATTTAAGCCATTTGGGATAATGGTTTGCATATAGCAAGAAATAAATTATCACTTGTGAGTGCATTTCTTGGGCATACTAGTGGTTAAGATGGATGCTTGATCATATAAATCAGGTTTTTTTTGTTTTTTTTTTAAGAAATACAGATGGGGGAAATTGATTTTTCTTTACAGGAGAACATATTTGACATGTGAACAAAAAGAAAATGACTCGGTTGGACATTTATGCAATGCAGCAACCAAAGAATTTGGTGATCTTGGATGTTTATTTTACATCCCTAAAAAGATTCATCAGATTTCTGAGATGTAGAGCTGGTAATGATGAAAAGCATAACAGATGAACAATTAATAGGCTTGTGAACCAGAGCAAATGGAATGATTTTTTTGTCACTTTTAACATTTAGGAAGTTTCAAAACAGGTGCAGTTTGTTGCTAGTCCCTATTATTATCCTTCTGTAGTGTACCATGAACTTCATGAGAGAAGTCTGTTTTTCAGTTTGTTTCTCCTCAGTTGAAACTTGTAGTTTTGTTGATAAAGATATATCACATGTGATAAATCTTTAGTTCTGTTCACTAAAATTCCATTTGTAAACCCTTTGCTCATCTAATTAGTGGCTTGGTCTGCATAGTCAACAACAAAACTTTATAAATGCAAATTTTCTGAAGACAATTGACATGGCCTGTGGGTAGCCAATATTAGTCTATATGGACAAGTTTATATAAAGCTAATTATGAAGAATCCAGGATGAACGAAAAATAAAAACATCACAATGAGAGAAAATGAGATAGCATATAGTTCATGAAGTGGAAAAGTGTGGAAAGAGTAAGTCAGAGCAGAACAATAGGAAGATTTTTTGTTCTTTAAACATGCATTTTACTTAAGTGATTTCCTTTTGTATATCATTTAACGAATTCTCTCCTTTTTCAAGAACACCTAACAGTACATTTTTTATTTTGACTTTAAATGATTTTTTTTGTAGATCTCCTAGAAAGCCATTATACAGTGTGGTAAAGAGGTTGCCTAATTTATGTGTTGATCAATTTGAAGCTTGAACATCTCCCCTTCCCCTGTCAACCCTTGGGCATTTGACCGTTGTCTGTGCTAAGGAGAGGGATACTTTTAGCCTTGCCCTGGTGGGGTTGGGAATTTGAACCTGAAGTGTCAAGTCCAGCAGAATATAAGTGTTATATTGTTAAATATGGAGGTGTTGGAGAAACTAGTTCATTTTGTGAGCAAGAGGCTCAGAAGGAAAGGTCTACGTTTTAAAGCTTAGTCAATGTGTAGAAAGTCACCATTGCTTATTTTGCTTTTTACAAAAAATTGAGGGGACATTTGAATGCAATTGAACAGACCTTAAACACCTGGATTTCTTAACTGTTTTGACTGGCTGATAGTTTTATAACGCATCTAAATTTTTTTTACTGTTGATTCTTTGGTCACTTTTTTTAAGATAGAAACTGCCTTTTACCTTATCAACTCATTAAAGAGTCGTGACCTGCTTACAACTTTTTTACATTACACATAACGATTAGATTAAAACATTAAACTTTAGTGGTGCCTTCAAACCAGGATTTTAGTTTTTTGGCAATTAATTCTGCTAGCAATTGTAGTAATCTTTTCATCTCTGTCATAGCTTGGTGAGAATTCTCATTATTATTCATTTTTCATTTAAGTGTCTCTCAAGAATGATCTGATTAACAGACAATTTATCATTCCTAATTATTCTGATTGCTAGTATTCCTTCCTTTATGTCTATCTCAGAATACAAGTAACAATTAAGGACACTGTATTTCTTGGATGATGTCTTTGAACTGTTACCAGAAAGGCTTAGTGACAAATGTCTCTGAAAAGAATTCACAACTTTGTTGTTTTTCTTTCTTGCTTAAATCAACACAGATGGTTGTATCTCACCACAAAGTTAAATATTCATGTTTCATATGTAATTGCCCCTTATTCAATGGTGGGATATTTGTCAAAATTAAAAGCCAATATTTAGCCTGTTGTTAGGTTTTCCTTCACCACAAGAC